CCCTCAAATGAAGGTAATTTGATTTCTTATCTGAAAATAGAGAAAATTTCCGTTGTGTCTAAAGAAAAACACATGCTACCTGGATCAAGGAATCAAAACCAGAGCCCTCATCTTCCTTCCTGGTAATTACTCTTTCACCTTATTATAGCTCCCTGTAGCCTAAACACTTTTAATTTCACCCAAAGCAGAGCATTTTTGGCAAAACATATTGAGACAAATCTCTCCCAGAACACCACTGTGATTGCTGGGTGCAATGCTCCTTTGGGAAACAAGGTGCAAACTACCGCAAGAAAAGAATTTACTCTGTGTACTTCAAGGTCTAAGCTAGTTAGACAAGTGAGGTGCAAGAAGCAATAGCATGACTATTGTGTCTCAAGTGCTCACCTGGCCCTTCTAGTGTGTGAAGTGTAATTAAGTCACTATGTTCCAGGAAATGAAACTCATTTCATCAAAATTTATGCCTGACCCATCTGAGTCAAGAGAAAGAAATGGACATTGCAACCCATGATTCAGCTGACACCGCATACTTGCACAGAGGAATGCTAATCAAAATGTCTCAGGATTCAATCACAATAATGTGGATATTTCAATGCACTCAATTTTCTATATTATAAGGCAGTTAGCACGGACTGCTCATATGTTGTTTGGTTAAAGTTCTGTGTTCAGAAGTGTAACTTGTATTTTTTATATCCTAGGACAGCTATATAAATTACTTGTTTGCTTCTTTGCCTTTTTATGAACTTCATGAAGAAAACCTTGTGGAAATACAATAAAAAGTACTAAATTAAATTAAATTAAAATTAAATGAAAACTCTTTATATGTTCTTACACTAATTCTTCTTTCTTCTCAGATGTCTGTTGCTGTATACAAGGATAGTCTTGCAACACTGTTTTGTTACTCTTAGATTAATGCCGAAATGTAAATGCAGAAAATTATCTGCTACACTGTCAAATTAATTTTTAAGGATCATTCTGATTACTTGGTAACATGCTTTTATCATTTTTCTTGCCCAGCGAAGTAAGAGTCTTTCTGTACTGATTTCCAGACAGTGAAATTCTTTGAGGGAAAGGTTTTATCTTTCCTTAGGATATACTGTATAGAAAGGAATGGGATCTGTTGTCATTAATTTTTAAGTGATGACAAAGCACTATAAAGTATCTATTCATGAGTGATGGTATGATGCCTATAAACAGTAGCAAGATTTTTAGTTTCCCTCTTCTTCTCATATCATGTCTAAATTTTTATATTGTTTTTATAGAACAAGGTTGTCATTGCATCAGACACTGAAATGTGATCCTTTTTTTCCTGATGATAATGCTTTGTTTCTGAACAGAAAAAAAGATGCCATTGCATAACTCACTGAACATCCTGGATCAGATGGATTCGTTTAGAATTGCAGATTATGCTCAGAGGGACCACTTCAGCCACATTGGTTCCATCAGAATTACATAGGAAAAATAGAGCCATCACAAACACATTATATTCTGTTTGGAAAACAGCTTTATGCTGAGTAATGAAGAATTATGATGCCAAATTTTTTTATTTTGAATTAAATATAGCACTGAAACACATGAAAGGCTCAAATGAGTAGATTTTGATGTTCCTGCTCATGATTTTCACATGCTTTTTAAAAACTTGCTTTTTAAAAATCTGTTTCCCCTCCCCAGCTACAAATTTGCAGCTTTGATAGCTGAGACAGCACGTTTCATGTATGTTTTCAGACACTTCCAGTTCTCAGGTAAATAGACATTCATTAAAATATAAAGATGTCTTATAAATTCTGATAGACTGTAGTTCTCCAAATGAAAATATATTATTCCATGCTCAAATTGTTGCTGATACTGTAACCATCCATTAAGAGGGGGCATGCCTGTTTGACGGTAATGTAATCCATTCACTTTTAACAACTCATTGAAGCCTGTGTTTTTTAAGTTTGTTCTTAGTTAACTACTCAGTTGTTTGAAATCATTCAGCATTCAGGTCAAATACTAAGAACTCATGACCTCTTATGTGATTAAACACCTCACTGTTTTTATGTTTAATTAATAACAAAAACAGATAATTATTTTGTATGACCTTTTGCCTCAAAGATATCCTTTGACTGTTCTTGAGATCAAAAGACATATTCATAAAAAGATCAAAAGAATTTATGCGCAACTAGTAGAATCAGCTTCCTTCACAAACTGCAAACTGCTTAATTCAAACTGAAGCTTCATTTCACTGTTGTTTCACTTGAGATTCCATGCAGTGCTAATCCCCCCAGGTTTTGATAGCTTATTTTATATTCATTGGATATAACATGAATTTTGCACCATACACCAATACATGTGCATATACTCATTGTTCCTTTATGAAAAAGTAATGTTAGATTATGCTGCTTGGACATCACAAAGAAACTCTTCACTGAAATGGTGGTCAAGCATTGGAATGAGCTGCCTAGAGAGGTGAGGGAGTCACTGTCCCTGGAGGTGTTCCAGAAATAACTGGATGTGGCACTCAGTGCCATGGTCTAAATAAGAGTGTGCTGATCAGTCAAAGATTGGACTTGATGATCTTGAAGGTCTTTTCCAGCCTTAATGATTCTATGATTCTATGTAAACACTGGGAACACTCACGGAATAAAGTTAATGTAAGTTCTACACATTATTTTTGAAAAGTGTTCAATAGAACAGGAACATACATCTCAGTGATTCTGCAGCTGATTGTGCCCAGATTTTGCTGCTTTCAGATGAAAAATAAGTTGTTAGAGATGCTCTGTTAATGGTGGGGGTGCAGCTTTTTTCCACCTTGAAAATACTGGGATGCTTCAACTTATTTCAAAAGCAAACCTAAAAACTGTAGTAAGTTGTACTTTGGTTGGTATTCTGAAAGTTGCGCACAGTAACTTTACAATTTGAAGAAACATTCCTTCTAACTACTACTAGCTCCATATTAAAAAAAAATATATTAAAAAAAGGGAACTGTGAATCTAAAATTGAATTTATGCTCCTCTTCTTTAATTTATATAGTTTAAGTACAAAGCAATAACGTGAAAAACATCCCTCCAGGCAGCCTAATGGTAGACGGCCTCAAGATTTTTAGGTGCCTCCCAATACGCCTACAATTGGAAGGAGAACAGGTACTCTCAGAAAAAGCAAAGCCACTTCCTTTTTTAGAACAGTAATAATATTTCCCCTGCCTAACTCTACTTTTTAGGTTCTGGTCTCTGTATACCGGTGACAGGTTTGCAGATTGATGTCTCTGAATCTTTTATTTCAGTCTTAGAAGATTATATGAAAGCATGGATGTTCCAGTCTACATAATGAGTGTCCAGTTTGCAAAGCAGCTGCATCACTTACATGCACAAAAGATGCACAGAAAATGATAGCATACCTGCTGATATGTCACTTTCATAGAAAACTGAAGAATGTTTTGTTATTTTTTTCCTTGAGTTTCACTGAGGAATAAGTAGTACTGTCAGAATGAAAATGCTAACTTATTCCATGTATTTTATTTTTATCATTTGAAGTCTAAAATGAAAGTTTCAATGTGTAAACAGTTTTCTGTCATTCAGGAGGTAAATCTTTCAAAATTAAAAAAAAAAAAAGAAAATGTTTATTAGCTCAGAAATTTTCCACAATGTATATTGATAAAAAAATAATTTTTTAAAGAAAAGAATATGATAAAAATTATGCTGTTTAGATTATCCAAGAAATGGGTATGAGTGTTTTAAAAGTGTGTATTTTTTGTTACATCTGAATATTTCTGTGTTCAGAAAGACTGACCCCCCCTCTACTTAAAAACTTGATATATTGTGATAAGTCTAATTGCACCTAATGCATCTGACTTCATTATTAATTTCTTATCTCTTCCATCCTCTGTCCTCAGCCTCCTCAACCAAGTATTAGTAAAAATTTCTTCAGGCTGTCAAGCATTAGAACAGACTGCCCTGGAAGTGGTGGAGCCACCATCTCAGAAAGTATTTAAAAGATGTGTAGATGTGGCACTGAGGGACATGATTGAGTGGTGGACTTGGAAGTGCTGAGTTAATGGTTGGGATCCATGATCTTAAAGGTCTTTTCCACCCAAAATGATTCTATGACTCTAGGCCTCTATAGACTCCATTTCTGGACAAGCCTTAGCCCAGCCTCCTCAGCACAGTTTGTATAGAGAACAGTTTTTCACGGATAATTTCTCAACTGGTGAGCTTGGCTCACAGAGTTTCCACTAAAAGGCAGATTCTATTTCCAATCCAGTGTTATAGAAATGCTGTTCTTTAGTTTCATGATCCTATTTCCTCTTAAGATACTGTGCTGGTTTTGGCTGGGATACAGTTAATTTTCTGTGCAGTCGCTAATATGGGGCTGTATTTTAGGTAAGAAAAGTCTAAAGAAGCGTAAGTTAATCAGCAAAACACTCTGAGAGACCTTCATGCGATTTATAGCACTAAGAAGTGTGAAAGCACAGGGGATGGTTCCGGGTGACCCCGGAGGCCCAGCGTGTGGCCGGACTCCAGGGCTGGGACAGGCAGGCCACGTTCGCTACAAGCCTGCCCACAGCTCCGCTCCCTTCCTTCCCGGGCGGAAGCACAAGGGGCCTTCAGATGTCTCCTGCGGGGTTCCATGGCTTCCCCCTTCCTGCACCTTCCCGACTGAGGCGGCTTGTGAAGTCAGCTGGCCTTCGCACTTCCCTCTCACTGCAGCCCCGGCAGCGGGAAGCGAGGCCCGCGACTCGGCGGGCTCTGCCGACTCCCGCAGGGCAGAGCCGTGTTCGGCCCAGATAAACACGAGCGGGAGCGAAGGGCCCGCACCGAGCAGCTGCCATCACCGCGCCGCGGGGCCGGGGCTGTGCCTGGCCGCGGCGGCGGCGGAGAGGTCGCGTTCCGGCCCCGGGCCATGGAGCCCCGCGGCGCGGCCGCCGCCGCTGCAGGTGGGACGGAGCGCGAGGCTGTCGGGGCTGCCGGGGAGGCTGTGAGGGAGGATGGGAGAGGGCTCCCAGAGGAGAGCACCGGGCCCGGGAGATGCCCCCACCCAGCGGTGTCAGTGGCCTCTGGGGACATCCCTCATGTGCAGACTTTGTGCCCAGGGCTGCTTCGGACGGTGCTCCTCGTTCCCCTGGAACAACCACCTGGTTCCCCTGGGACGCCTGCCTCGTTCCCCTGCGGGAGGCCTTCGTGGGCAGCCCCAGGTGATCAAAGAGTGGGTTCCTGAGGAAAGGTTAAGTTCATTTGGGAGGAAATGGGAGCCTTCTTATGAAAACTGCACTGCTTTGGTTATTAATAATGAAGACTATCAACTATTTATTACATATCTGTCTTTTTTATAAGTTATAAATCTGAAGTTTTCTCCTGTCCATTTCATCTAAGTCACAAGGAAAAACACTACTGTTGTGAAGTTTTGTTGAATGGATCCTGGGATTCAATTAATGTTGTTAGTGCTCCTGTAAAAAAAAGAAAAAAAAAGTTGTGTGAATAAATAGATACAATACAATATCAAAGAATTATCAAAGTTATCAATATTTTTACCTGATTATTTGTAATGTTAGTGAATTGAAATGGTAGTTTCTGGTGACTGACCTTAGGAATTCAGAAATCATAGGGCTTAGTCACTTGGATTTTTCTCATTGACTGACAGAAGAAAGTAATGATTAATACTGTATCATTACAGAATGACCTGGAGTTCTAGGTCCTTAAAGATTATCTAATTCCCACCCTTATGCTATGGGCAGGGACACCTTCCACTAGACCAGGTTGCTCAAAATCCAATCCATCCTTGTCTTGAACAGTTCCAGCAATGGAGTTTAACCCCGGCTAGCAACGAAGTACCACACAGCCTTTTTGTTCAGTCCCCCGACCCCAGCGGGGATAGTCATAAAAAAAAAAAAAAAAAGAACAGGTAAACCTAATTGGTTGAGATAAGTATAATTTAATAATTGAAATAAAATATTATAAAAGCTATACTAAGTATGCTTATAATATGATTAAGAGGAATTGTCATTAGGAAAGGAAGGGAGAATAACAGAACCCAAGAGAAATAAGTGATGAAGATAGTTGCTCAGCTCCTGATCACCAATGTCCATCCCATTTCTGAAGAGAGATCCCAATATTCCTTTGGCCAGTTTGGGTCACCTGTCCTGGCCTTGCTCACCTCCCAGCTTTCTGTGCAGCTCCTCAGTAGCACAGCATGAGACATAAAGTCCTTGACTTAGGGTAAACACTATATAGCATTAGCCAAAACATTTGCATGTTATCAACATCATTCTCATACTAAATCCAAAATCCACAGCTTTGTACCAGCTACTAAAAAGAAAATGTCCCAGCTAAAACCAAGATTTGCATCCACAGCTTCTCCAGGCACTGTTCCAATGTCTCATCACCCTCACAGTAAAGAATTCCTTCCTAATATCTAATCTAAATGTGCCGTCTTTCAGTTTAAAGTCATTCCCTCTTGTCTTGCACTTGTAAAAGTCCCTCTCCAGCTTTCTTGTAATATCTTTCAGGTGCTGAAAGGCACAATGGAGCATTCTCTTCTCCAGGCTTAGCAACCTCAACTCTCTCAACCTGCATTCAGAGGAGAGGTCCTCCAGCCTTCTGATCATCATCGTGGTTTAGATGTTGAGCCACATTAAAGTGTAAAAAATCACTTGTCTATGGACTTCACTGTGAATCCTTGGCAAGTCTCTTCTGTGGTTCACTCCAGTGCTTCATAAATTATTATTTAGACACTGCATATTTAAATGTGGGTATAGTTATGTTAGTAGCTATTGTGTATGTAAGGATTCATTCTTTATTCCATGCTGTATGCTGGATTCCTAGCAGTATTCCCTCTTTTCCTTCTCCTCTATTAGAAACATTTCCTTTCTTCTGAACAATCTCATCTTTCTTTCGGCCTGTATTAAATTTCAGTAAGAAGCACAAAACTAAGGTTTTTAAAATACAGTGGATGCATTCTGGAAAGTTACTTGAGTGAATCAGTATCAATGAAAGATACTGATCTTGTAGGTTTAAAAACCTGTGGAAGTGGAATTGTTCAGGTAAAGGCTGAAAGTGTGAAACTGGAAAGGAAATTATGGTGATATTTTAGTCACTATGTTTTAAACATGGGAAGAGGAGATAAGCAAAATAGTCTTTGTATAATCCTCCAAACTCTTGATGATTACATTTTTTTTTAACTCTGCTTTGAAATTATGCATTCAAAAGCTACTATAGTCATGGCAATAGGTAAAACTGTGGAGTTACGGGCTGCTTTCTTGTTGTAACTTGACGGTGTATAAAGGCTGGGATTGTTTTCCACAGTCACAAATGGCAGTTGTAAATTTATTCTTTATGTAATTATTATTAGCATATATGAAACGTTGTAAAAAAATGAGGGCCTGAATTTCATGGTTTCATAAATTTCATCTCATGAAGCTCTAATGAAAAGTATATCCTCAGTTCCCAAACCAAGTGGATTTACACGCAGCTGATTAAGTGAGCACAGTTCTGTTTTGGTAGCAGAAGAAATCTGTGCTGACATAAGAATAGATAAATTTACACCACTGAGTTATACTTTAATTTCTGAGCAGCAGGTTTTGTAGAATAAATTCCCTATTCTGGAAACACATTAGTTTCTTTAGTAGTCAGAATAGTAAAGAGAAACATAGTAATGGTACTGTGTGCCAGATTCACTAAATACTGTTGTGAGTGACACATAAAAAAGGCCTGTTGGAGGAGAAAAAGGAGTGCAAAAGGAAGAATAGTGAGAATATATATACACAGTTTTAAACTACTGTAAAACTCAGGCTTAATTTATTATTTTCAAATGATCTTGTTGAAGAGTGAGGCAAAGAAACTTTGAGGACCCAAACTGATTTTTTATGCTTATATAATTCCGAACGTATTTGATGTTTCTCATGTCTTTTATTTGAACCTGTCTGCTATTGTGTGCACTGTAATATGTTCACTAGGTTATTATCATAAACTTTTTTCCATGACTTTCGGGTTTTCTTCTCGAAGGCTTTTTTTTTTTTTTTTCCCTGAGAGATAGCAAAAAGATCTAAAATTACAAACGCCTTTTAAGGGGTGGTGCTCTCAGCCTTGCAGAATTTCTCTTGTTAGTTATGTACCTTAAATAGGTCTTTGAAGGTCTCAGCTTTAGCTGCCTGTGGTGTGCCAGCTCATCTCAGAGCAGTTGACTGTCCACAGTACATGTGTATGCATCTGATGTAGCTGTCTTAACACTCTTTGTAGTCCATGGGGGGAAACAAATGTTTCTGGGTCATGACTTTACCACAAAATGTACAGATGACTTGGCTTATTTTTAACATTAGAAATCTCTGTTTCTGCCCATAAAAGAAGTCTAGACAGCTAGCTCAGTTGTAGCCATCTAAACTGTAGGTTTCTGTCGTTAAGAGGCGATAAATCTACATCAAAAATGTTACAGAAATCCGGAAGGATTATGCTTGCTTATGTTCTTAAATTCTCTGAAATGGTTATAATTTGGGAATATTAGTAAGTTCTAAAAATTTTTTTTTCAACTCATTCTTGTTATTTGGATTTGGAGAATTTATAAGATTGGGTTTTAGAATTAAAATTATTTAAAAGTTAGAGTTTGAAGAAATAAATCATGCCACATTTAAGTTTCCTTGTGCTTTTGACATAAAGTATTTTAAATATTTATTACTTTCAATATTGTTTTACCATTTTGAGTCCATTTGAAAAAAATATGCTGGAGTTATTGTTAAGCTTGTTGTATGAAAAGCATGTTCTTCCCTCATTGACTATCTCCACATTACATATCTTTGTGTATTATGAGCATAGGTTGTTTAAAGATAACACTGTGGAGTAGCCTTGGTTTAATATACACTTTTACAATAAAAGCTGCTTAATTGGAACACAAGGCATACTTCAGTTCATCTTGATTATGTAGCTGTCCCATTATCATTGTTTATTATATACACAAATGACATTGTGCTAGGCATACCAATTAAATCAAGTTTATTTTATTGTTGTTTAATGTTGTGGCTGTAAGTGTCTGAGTTCAGCCCAGTTCCGTTAGAGCAATTGCAGCATTTTGTGCTCCCTCATAATGAGTCAATGTCTTGGTTTCTATTGTATAAAGCAGATGAGGTTACAAAGACGTGGGTAATTTTTTCACCTTATTTGCACTGTGTAATTGACAGGCTAGTTAAAGTGAAAATCATGGCAACAAAACAGTTTTTTTCTTGAATGGTTGTACCTTTAAGGACAGACCATACTCTTAAATTTAGAAGGAAAAGCATTTTTTCTTATATTTAGGGCTGTCTGAAGATTCTTAGCTGTGTAGTAGTGGTGGATGGTAATTTGTTTCTGTCCCAACAAATCTTATTTTTAAATAAAAATTTCACATGCGAAGAAAACTGAGCCCTGGAATGGCCTGGAAATTATATGAATTACAGTCTTTTTTGTATCTTATGCTATTCATTTTTTAAATTATTTTTGAAATTTGTATGTTAGTGGTCTGAATAACAAATGAGTGTCCTGATATAATCCGTAAGGTTTTGTCTATGACATTTGCAGCACTTTCCTCCATTATTAGCCATGAATTTTGTGGCCAAACTTGGAAATCACACCTAAGATCTATAATTCTTTGGCATTAATGAGTCAAAGTGTTGAATTATTCCAAGTGAGTTTAGGTCTTGGGTTTGGTTTGAGATACCCTATAATTTTAAATCATAGCATAATTTAGCTATCTTCCCCCCGTTTCTCTCTGAGTTACCTGTTTCCAAGGTCAGTGAGAAAACTGTATGTACTACTCAGAAGAGTAAATTATATAGAATTCACCTCCTTTACCCATAAACATCCCTTAAAGACTTCTTAAAATCACCTTCTGCACATGGCCGATTCTTTGAGTCATTTACCCTTAACATTTCAATCTCTTCATGTGAGCTGCTGCATCAAATGCAGCTGCAAAACAGGACTGGCAGGTTGGTCAATTAGGGTAGTGCTTATGAATCAGATTTATCCTGGTTCTTTCTGTTATCCTGTTTCCTACTTACTTCAAAGGTCTTCAGTGGATCTTGCACCATATCTCAGTTCCCCTTGATTAGGTTAAACAAAGCTGAACGAGACAGTTGATCATTTCTTTTGTAATTATTTCAGCCGGTGAATAATTGCTCAGCAGTCTTCTACGGCTGGGATCTCAGCAGGTCTGTGGGTTCTCAGTACCCTCTCCCTGCATGAGAGCTGGAAGCATGGGATGTCGTTCTTGTGTTGGAGAACTGTAGACTTAGCCCTGTTCAACAGTGTTTTTAATTGTGTCCTGTGAGAGCTCTTCCATTATTAGCTTGTGGATTGGGGGGTTTGCATAGGGAACCAGATGGTTGTTGGTGAGCTGGGCCCTGCTTCCAGCCGTTTGCAAGGGATTACTGGTTCTCTTCCTTAACACTGAGTAATGACAGGAATGAAGCTTTGGGTAATTCTTGAACCTTTCTCTTTGTCTTTATGTCATTTATATATTAGCAGCTAGAATTAGACTGGTGAGTGTTTTCTACTCTTGTTTGGGTACTTGTCTCAGTCAAAGAAAGTTTTTGGTTTATTTCTAAAACTTTTTTCTGGCCAACCAGTGGTGTAATTTCTGTGCTGATAGGAGCAGAAACATTATTGATAAAACTCTGTAGCTGCCAATATGCTTTCAGTGGAATATATTTGGTGGTTCAGCACTTCCCGAGAGCAACAGATTGCAGTGCAATTTTTGCTAATGCACAGTTGGCCAGTATCCCCATATTTCTAATAGCGTCATCCGGTGTGCTATTTTCTAGAAGAGTTACATAGTAGTTTCTGAGAGAGCAGTTGTCCCTTTAGGCGAATGGTGAAAAACCTCAATCAATTCTTAGAGCTTCTGCTTTTCAATACACAAACTTATCTTTTCCTAACCAGAGAAGAAATGAGGAGAGATGGTGATAGTGTCACTAACATAAAACAAGTGAAAGATCTGAATATGCTCCATAGAATCGTTAAGAAGTCTCTTCTTTCTGGAAATGCATTCAGGAATATTGCTATTTGTCATTAATTAATAACAAGAGATTTTGTGATTCCAACAGAATGACTTCTCCAAAAACTGCACTGTGTCTTTTTCCTAAGAACCAGCTGTGTTTTGTGATCTATCCTGCTGTAGAGTTGTTTTTTTTTTTTTGTTGTAACAGCATCTTTATAAGTAATTTTTCCAGAAAATGAGTGAGTTTTTGCCACCAGAATATCTCCCTAAACTCATTCTAAACTATAGAAACTCATTCCCTAAACTCATTCCTACTATAGAAATGAGTCTGTATAAGATAATAAAGAGGAAAATGCCTCCCTCAAACCCCAAATTGCATTAATTCATTAATTAAATGTATGTCTTACGTGTTAAGGTGGAATGCTATTTAAGATTCTCAAAGCAAAATTAGGTAATGGTTCATGTGGTTTATATGACTCACTAGGGATACATCTACTTCAGAAAATAGCATTTTGGAATGTTGTGGTGGAAAGTTCCTTTTACTTGTCTCCATTGTACTGTTACCTTGTGCGCTAAGGTTTTTGTTATGCTTAAAACATACCAGTCCCTTTCAAAACAAAATGTAAAAGTGACTCTCTTTTATTTTGGTAATGGGTGGGTGGTCAAAAAATGCTACCAAAGTAGCATTTCACACTAGTAGCATAGTGGTAATATGTCAGTGGTCAGACAGCAAACTTTGTATTTTCTATGTAATACTATGCCCTGTAAGGAGAAACAGAATACAATAAATAAGGCATTGGTGGTGACTCTGATGATAAAAGGCACCTGAGCATTCATAAAATGCTGGAATAAATACCACTCCCTGGCCCATACTGGAATGTTGGTCATTTTGCAACTTCTGTGAAAATAATTTAAAGGAAAATACTAATAACTGACAAAGCATGTTATGAAGCAGAAAGTAAATATGTGTTTATCCTTAAAAGGAAGATGAATCAGAAAGCTTTGGCAGAGTAGTCTCTGGAGGTACCAAAATGTTAAACAAGCGGTTTAAGACATTTTTCTGCTTGCCCTAATTTATCGTTCTGCTCTGCACAGGGACTTGGTAAAAATGGTGCTTGACAAGCACTGTTTGAGTAATATCTGGGTGAAATTTCTGTTGATGAGATAATCTGGGAAGCACCTTTCAGATTCAAAGCCCAATGTTTTGGATACCTTACTGTTTAATCTTCTTTCAGTGTGTTCCATGTATTTCACTTTATTCACAGCTTTGAAGGCAGTTCCATTACTTGCATGCTTTTGTATTTTTAAACATTTCCTTTGATGTATTAGACAAGCAAGAGTCTTACACCAGTTAGCTGTCCCACAGTTGTGATAATCCTTTGAGATTGAGAGAATAATTTCTGCTTCTCACTGAAATTCTAGATATTAATTGAAAAGTTGTGTGAAATAGATTTTCTTTATTAGCAATTTTGCAAAAGTACCATTTAGTGTATAACTGCTTTAAGTAAAGGATATATACTGTATAGTTCAGTTTCTAAAGGTTTACTATTTAATTAACTTTAAGAATGCACTGGTGGCTTAGCTTAGATGATTTTGTCTTGACACACAACAGGAATGGAGTGTTTCAAGTAGAGAGAAGAGTAGCCTAAAATATAGCTGTAGGTAAATAGATCCCAAAGAATTTTTGCACTCTTGTCCTTTGTGCTCTGTACTACTTAAAGTGTTAATTGTCTGCTGTGTCTGAATGGACAGTGTGCAAGGAGTGCACAGGGATTGTTTGTGCATTTCAGAAGTATTTTAAAAGTGAAAGAAATACTTAAAAAGCAGTGCTTTCTGTAAGTGTCCCTGATGGATAAATGAATATATGATGATTTATGACTTACTATCCAAAGCTGAGTAGAACCAGAGGAAGAAATCAGCTTAGTGATAGCAGATGATCTGATGAAAGGATGACCTAAAATAACTTTTTCAAACCTGTGCTGTGACTTTTTCAGAGTTGCTCAACACAACTTAATTGTGCTTAACCTACAGTTTTGACAGATAACAAGAAAAAAACAGCATTGGGAGAAAAACATAGATGTCAAGGTTAGGGTGAAAGTGTAGGAAGTGATTTTTTTTTTCTTAAATTATCATTTTGGGAGTGATGTTTTTTCAGGAAAAGAATACATTGAACAACTGAATGAAAATGGTGTGGAATTAGGAAAAAAAAAAGTATATTTTCTAATTTGACAGAGTGGTTAATATTAGTTTGTTTTAATTTCCCATTTTCCGTCTCTACTCCTAGGCTCTGTGCTGTTGCACATGATGCAATTATCTATTTAAATATTTTATTTCTCTGACTCTTAATAATGCCTTTTCCCCATCCTCACTGTTTGTAACAAAGCTTATAAAACTGTCTTCTCTTACCTTACTAGGCACTTGCATCACTTTGAAGCTGTCTGCTTAGCTTTCTGCAGGCTTGATGCTTAATGTAGACTTAAAACTTCAAGGGCATCAATACCAGGTGTACAAAACCAGAGACAACCTCAAAGTTTTATCTTTTGAGTACTGGGTCTTTATGGTAAACTTTCAAGAAATTATATGTATTGTATTTAAGTATAAATAATCCCAAATGAATTTTTCTGTCATAGGTTTAGAATTCTTTTGCGGGGGGGAGGGAGTGTCAGGGTGGGTTTCTTGAGGTTAATATTTTTACTTCTTTCATCCTTGTTTTAGTGGAGATTACATTTGCCTTTAAAATTTTGCTAGGATAAGCCTATTTGAAGTGCTTACCATTTCCACGGTTATTCTCAAACACTGGATTTTATTTTTATAGCTGAGCGCAGCTCATGGTGTGTTCTTTTTTTGCACAGATGCTTGTGTTTCTGTTCTCCTTGGTGATTTAGGAATGCACTAGAAATTAAAGAATTGGTCTCACTATTGAACAGTTTTCAAAGACAAGAAGATATTGTGCATAATTTCCTTAATGGAGTCATAGTGAAGTAACCTTTTTGTTTTCTGTTTTTCTAACGCAATAGAAATCAAAGGCAGAAGAGAAAATCAAATTTCGTATTTGAAAATATCAAAACTAGCATTGGCTTTTGCAATTATCCACTCAAAACCACCAGGGAAGAGTTCCAAAGAATACACAGAGTACCTTTCCAGAATTGTATCCGAACAAGATTTTGGATGGAAACGGAAAGTGGAAGTGCTGGAAGCTGAAGTTCTTAGATTACAACAGGAACTTCTTTTGAACAGGATCTCTCCAAGATTCTGCTTGGAAAATAGTAAGTTACTCAAATATTTCTGTCTGTGTTGCAATAGCAAGGAACCGAGCAGCTTTCGTGTTGCCTGTACCATTTCTTGTACTTAGCTGTGAGAGTGTTCAGTGTACTGTTTTTTGTTTTCCCCAAAGTTCTGAGATAGTGGGACACTTAATTCATTTGAAATGGGATTGTGCTTGAAAATTTGATGCTTATGAAGAATTTATATATTTAACCATCAGAATCAATATGTATTATACAAAAAAATTGCAGGCAAAACTTGTCAATACACAATGTCGCTATATAACCTTGAAAATACTAGTTTGTAAGAACTAATTTGTGTTTACATTTGGAACATGTCTTAAAGACATATTTCATATTTTTTAACCACCCTAAAGATTTTACAATCAGAATTTAAGCCTAAAGTGTTGGAAGCAATAATCCCTAATATAGGTAACAGGGCTGTATATCTGTTATTTCTGTGAATGTTTTTCATGGCATATGATAAAATATTGTGAGTCTGATATTATTGATTCAGGAAAGCTTTTAGTTAAAGACTGAAAAAAAAAGTCTCAAACAGCACTGTTTTTCTGAGTTGTGCATGTGTAGTAAGTCATGCTCGATTTAAGATATCAGTGGCACCGTGTGAGCTTGAAAATAAGCAGTGGAGGATTTCTTCAGGCTCTGGGGAGATACTTTCCTGGGAGATGGAGGTCAAAACACTCTGGGCTGAAGGAGAGAGAAAGTTCACTGTTGAGGGCATCTCTAAAATCGGGATGTATAGCTAATTGTATTATGACTTGAGATTTTTAGAAGGTTCCCTGGTGGAAAACTTGATGAGGCTTTACCCCACTGCTTCTGTACTGAAACAGTAATGTCTTTATCGCCTTGCCTAAAGATTTCTAACTTGTAACATTGACTGATGGGGGGATCATTAGACTTCAGCTACAAGCTCTAATGGTGTATGTATTTAATTTGTATAATAGAACTTTTCTCTACAGAGAAGCGATTTAATGACTGTTCTTACTTTGTTGTTGTCTATTTTCTGCAACCTATTGCAAACATGACATTTAAGACTAAAAGTAACCTTTAAGATGCAGTTTCCAACAGGTGTCTTATGTTTTGAAGAACTGGCTGCAAATTATCAGGAGGAATTTATAAACATGTAATGTCTGGAGAGGATATTCTAATTGTGGATTAAGCAGAACACAGCAAAAACTACCATTTAGCAAAACATAGCAAAGAAAATCAATTCACTTGCAATTTCTGTGTTCTAATTTTTTGAAAGATTCTCTGAACTCTAAATTTTAATTGTGAGATAGGCAGAGGAAACTGCCCCTGGCAGATAACACCTCTTGCAAGGGATGTTAATTTTAAGTACCCTAGTCACACTGACGTTTGCTCACAGACTTAAAATGTGATAAATGTTTTCTAATTTTAGATGTCTTATACATATATATATGTCACTGTTTCTGCTGAGTGTGCATTCATGATTACAGTCCCACTGGATACAAATGTTTTTGAATAAGGAAAGATTGTTAATGGTACCTGATGGAATATCTATTGGTGAGATCTATGCACTCATTGGGGTATCAAGGTGATGATATATATCAATAGCAGAACATCTGTGGTTGGCATGTATGGGAAGATGGTTGTAGAAACAGGGCCTACCTGAAATAAGGGCCACTACACCACTGACATCTTCTGCCCCAAGATAAAAAACAATACTTCTTGTGTGTGTTGTGCCAGTTTTGAGATTTTTCAAGCCCGTGGAGAACAGAAGCTAAAGGGTGGCTACTGCTGAGGTACAAAGGCACAAGGAGATTGAATCTAAGTTAGGAGAAAAAGTGGTAATAAGTGGTATTTCATCCTTTCAGGTGAAACTGGAAACTGCTATAGATCCATCAAGCCATCATTTACAGGTTTACCACCTAATATTATACCAGAGTTATGTTCTTTAGGGCTGAGGATGATAACTAGGATTGTTCTTAGCAGCAAGTAATCTGCAGAAATCCTGGATCCTTTTCCTCCTCCACTCATTTCTCCAGCCTCATTTCTAGAGTTAGTTTTCTGCTTTAAATAATACGGCTTCTCAAAAATATTTCAACCCCCCAGCCTTTCTATGGCTTTCTTCTGTTTCCAGTAACAGCTCTTTAGATACAGGAATATCTGGGTTTCACAAAATCCACCACCAGAAAAATCTCATGCAGTAAGGATGAGACTGCATTTATTCCTGCTGGTGCCTCTTGAAAACTGAAGAGTTTGAGTTCTTCCGCCAAGGTTCACTTTGCAGCTGTATCTTTTCTGCTTTGCATCTCGAATGTGAGAGCTTTCCTTTCCCACCTGCTGTTTGTAGTAATAGTAGTAGGTCTTTCAGAAGCTTCAGGAATGATTAGAAACTGCCCGTAGAGTTTTATTTCCCTAATGTGAGAAATTTGTGAGCTCTTTGAAGCTGTGGTACCTGTTTTCCCCCTCCACATACAGTTGAGCACAGTATGGATGTGCAAATACGTGAAGGATAAATAAAAGAAAACTCATTTTTAAAAGAAATGGTGCCTAAATTTCTTTGTCCCACCTGAATAGTTCTTTGTCCACAGAGACACTAAAACAGTTGTGGGTTCCTAACTTAGGGGGAGAAACATGCTTTGCTGCAGGTGAGCTGCTTGGTGATATGAGTTCTTACAGATTAATGTGTCTTTTATGAAAGTGCAGTGGTGAGTATTCACTGACTGTGCTGTGTCTGGAAGTTCCTTACTTGACTTATTGTTCAGTTGTCTTTCTGAATACACGGGCTCTATTCCTTGGTGGTGCTTTTGGCTATATGTCAATCATATGAGGAGGAAGAGAAACAAATCTTTTTGCAATTTTCTGTTATTTTTCACCTTGACAGTGTTGTCCTGACAACTATGCTCATGGGTAGAAAAAAAAGTCAAATTTCATATTAAATCAAAGTTTCATGCCTTTCTTTGATCCAGATTAAAATTTCACAGAAAGGAGGATAGAAACTTCTTGATGTTATTCTAAGAATAAGCATTTATAGTATTTGAGCATTGTGCTGTCACTTCTTTGGGGAAACAAGAAAAGACAAAGGGTCTTACAAAGCATTGATGAATTGATTGGTTCATGGATTGGAGCACCTGCCCTCTAAGACAAATTCCTTCACTCTTACCAGTTCATAAAATCAATGATCATATTGTTTCTTGGCAGAAAAAAAGTGTTAAAGGGCTCTGAAAAGCCTGCAGCTGTTACTTCAGCCCAAGAAGGCATAAATGCAGTATTCTACCCTTTTTGTGCCAAGCATGTATTTTAGGAATGACAGTTTAGAGGATAGATGTTTATTACCTTGGTTGCTTCCAGCTGATACTCTTGAAGGTTCCAAATCGATTATCCAGAGTATATGCTTAGCAAAACTTGTCGCAAATGTTCCCTCTTCCTTAGTTTCACCTTCAAACTTGGTTCAAGTTATTCCATTCTTACGCACCAGGTAGGAATTTACTGAACTGCTTGCTCCTCTAATTAAAATAAAAACAAATTCTTTTCACCACATACCTTTTTAGAATTCATTTACTCTGCCTTTTATAGATAATTTACAATAGAACTTCTGCCATGTCCTGGAGTTCCTTCCAGTTTTTAGCCTCCACAGTAGCACATGTGCCAGCCACCCTACCACAGTGTGTCTGTGTGTCTAGGGAAATGATGACCTCTGAGTCACAGTGTGATTAACCTGGATGTCTGATTTTTAACTGTATCCTGTTTTTTTTTATCCTGGGGCTGTGTTTCACCTTTCAGGATACTGTCCCCTAAATTCTATTCCCTGTGTCAAAGAAGCAGCTTGTATCTTTTTTTGGGAATAATACACAGAGAAAAAAAAAAAAGAATTTTTATCTCCTGCTTCACTCATTAATTTGGTGTGTTTCTTGAGGCAATTAGTTGTATGTGTGGAAAAAAGAGAACAACTTCCTTTGTAGATTAGCACAAATGAAAACACTGCAGTCTCATTTCTTCTCACTGGGAGTTTATGGAACTGGAACCAGCCAGTTCAACAGCTGAAGTAAAACTGATTATAAACATTACATAGCTACAGTGTACCAGCAGCCTTGCTTTGGGCCACAGAATTCAGCCTTCTCTTCCCTTTCCACTTCCCTGTAAGTCCTGGCTTGGAAATTTCTTGCTCAAAAGGGAGACGCAGAAACTCTGGGTGCTCATCTTATACCCCAGGATTTCCTGGGTAGGCAAAGACAGGATCAGATAAGTCCTGCTTTGATGATGGCATAAAAAATGATGGCCAGTCAAAATATTTTCTGAATAATTGTATTTCAAACTTCTGAAAGGGCAAAGCTCTCCATCATGACTTAAGTAGTGTAGCTTGTGATGTTTCCTCTGCCTCCTTACATGAAAAGGAGTGGTGAGAGAACATAATTGATAATAGATTTTTAAAGCTCATTTTCAAAGAGGAGCCAATCAGTTGAATTCAGAAAGGTCAGACCAGAACCTGAAGATTTCCTCAGTGGATATGTTATCTGCAGCTTCGTAAAGGAGTCTTCTTTGTTAGTGGGAATAACTGCAGTCCACATCTGACTGAATAATAAAAGTAATACAAACACATTTGTCTATTTCTTGGGAGGGAATTATTTCCCTCCCCAGAAGGTAGATGAAATAGTGTGAAATGTGGATTTGCATATGTTGTAAATAGCACTTAGCAACAATTTTAGTTCCTATGACATTGAAATAAGGTAGAGGACTACAGACTAGAATTTCCAAGTTACCATGCTATGTTTAAGGAAAAGCTATTTTTTTTCAGGTTAGTGTGTGTAAATCAGCAGCTGTTACAGATTGTTGTGTCCTGTCATCACTTTCCCCCCCTGGTATTTGGAAGGAGTACAAAAGCACAAAAATTGCAGAGGAACTGTCAGCCTCTGAGGGGTATCTTTTACTTCTGTCTTCCTTTTTGTAAGGTCAGAAGATTCTCCATTGGCCAGCAGTCAACACTTAATTTGATGTTGCCATGGAAAACAGTTCTGATT